CAGACACAGAGAGAGAGAGAGAGAGAGAGAGAGAGAGAGAGAGAGAGAGAGAGAGAGAGAGAGAGAGAGAGAGAGAGAGAGAGAGAGAGAGATGCATACTAAACTTACCTGGGGTGTTGCTTTGCTGGAGAGACAACGCCGTACTGCTGAAGGCCGGCGAAGCTGGTTCTTGCGTAATCCTCCATAACGCCAGTCGATTTTGCGTAGAGGGGTTGACCTGTTAGTTGGCATGGTGATTGCAGAAGAGACATTGGCTTCATCATCCGTGGAGGGCTACCTTCGTTCCCCGAATACAACGTACGGTCATTGTAGCTGTATTTAGACTGAAAGATGCCTGAAATACAGCTAGCTATAATGGCTGTACGTTGTATTCGGGGGAAGAAGGTGGGCTGGTGACAGTGAGGTGGCAAGCAGTGAAGGAAGAAGCCTGGAGGTTGAAGGAGGAGGGGGGGGGGGGGGTAGAGCTGTGATGTTGTACACATTGGTTATTATTGGAAGCTTTCCTCCTCTCTGATTCTTCGCTTCCCTTGGGGTATATTCGAGTGTACTTGCTGCTTTGCATTGATGTCAATCATTTGTGAAGTTTGAGTACCTGCATGGTGTGGAAATTGGGACCTTCTCAAGAGTCGTTTCATTACAATTTGGTATTGCAATGGAACCTTCTTACCTCATTCGGCAATATCGAACTACCGTCTTCACCCGAATAGAAATGCCGGTAATTATCGCCGTATCTGGACTGAAAGTTGCCCCAAGTACAGTGATAATGACTGGGCGTTCTATTCGGGTGTGACGACGGTAGTCAACCGTAGTCATAGAAGAGCTGTATCTGTTGGGAGACAGATACGATAGTGGAGTACAAAGGGCGGTGGACGAGAAGAAGAGTGACCAGCACGCTGAGCTTGCGGTACAGGCAGACCGTGAGCTTGAGCGCTGGAGACACAGGTGGACGACACTGAGCGCTGGCGGTGATTCTTTCACCGTCTGATTGACTGGTTATTATTTTTTTTGGCGCTCTATTCTGACAGCATTCTGTTCACACTTTTTTTTCTTTGGTATATATTAGTTATCTGCATCGAGCCGGGAGGATGAGAGTAGTACGGATCTCGCACGCCTCCAAAGGCTCAGTGCAGGTTCCAGGAAGTTTCCACTTGGTATTCATTGGTTATCCACATCGAGATGGGAGGATAACACGTGTGAAGTGAAGTGAATGCTTGCCTCATGGTGTATGCTTCTGGAAATCGCGTTGTTGTTCTTTTCACGGTGTATCGGATCACATCATCACACATGCTGCCTGTGGTCGTTGAGGTCCTACTTCCGCTGTGTCTTTGTCGACTACTTTCGACTTCGTAAAGGTGCTGCATGGCTGTCGTGAGGCGTTGGGTTGTGGGCTGGGCTGGCTGTCACCACTTTCAGCATTCAAGAGCATTGCCAAGCAGCTTTAGTCCTAGAGAATGTATTAGTCAGTCGACTCTTTTTTTGTCTGTCCTCCTCCGTAGTTGGCTGGTGTCACTGAGATCATGGAACCTCTCTGGAAGGTTTGATTGAGCCTATACCGCAATTCTGTTTGTTTGTTTGTTTGTTTGTTTGTTTGTTTGTTTGTTTGTTTGTTTGTTTGTTTTGTTTTTTGTTTTTGTTTTCCCACGTTTTTTGACATTTGAGGTTGTGTACATTCAGACTTGTTGAAGCGAAAAAAAACGAAAAAAAAAAACAAGACTTGTTGAAGCGAGAGTGCACACACATTCAACAGAGGTGGCGGAACTTCGAAAGGTGCTTCGATTTTTTTTTTGCCGATTGTGTGGTTGGATACGGTCCGTCTGAGATTTGGGAATTAGACAGGGGACCGGGACACTAGAACCGGGACACTAGAATTGAAAATAACAATGTAGCTGAGGATTACATTTCACAGTATAGCCACAGCGTCGAAGATCAGAGAAGAAACCTTCTTACTACAGACATGAGGCTCAGGAGTGGTGGATCGGATTGCGGTCATTCATTCAAGCTGTTTGTCATTTACAAGAAAGTGCTCAAACACATAGTACTATATTAGCAAAGTGCTCAAGCACATATTAGCAAAGTGTTCAAACACATAT